GTGGTTTTCTGAGAAGGAAAGCATATGTTTTTAAAACTATGGAAATAAGTTGTTGCAGTTCTATACATTGCTTTCTATTAAGTAGAAGCAGAATGTTACAGAGAAGTTTTTTTAAACTCTCCTGCCCTTCTGTAGGACATGAGTACACTGTTTTGATGTGTCTACGTATGACTCCATCTCTTGTAGAGAAAGTCCCCTGCCCCAACTTAAAGATTTTCATAATAGGCCTTTTTTTTTTTTTTTTTTTTAAGAAGAGAAAAGCTGTCCTTGTATCCATCTGTAATATGGGATATAGTGCCCCTCTCATCCCCTGTCCTCTGACAAGCACCATTTTGTTTTCATTAATCTCTTTCCCTCGGCAGTGTATAAGCCCTGAATTTGTCTTGGTCCAGGGCTCTATGTTTAGCATATAGAATAAAAGCGGGCACGCACTTACTTATTGGTTGACTTAATTAATTAAATGATCCCTTTCTGGCTCTTCCCATTGTTCCAGCAACTTCTTTTGTTTTAAATACATTTATTTGTGTGCACTTTTGTATACAACTCCCTACCCACCCCCAGTTTTCTTTTGGTGCATCAGCTGGCCATCCAGTGTTTGCTTAGCACTATGCTTGGTGATAGATGTAGAACAGGGATCAAAATGGACTTTGTTCCTTCCTTTGTGGAACTTAACATCTCTTTAATGCCAAAGGCTCAAGTTGATGTCATTACCTTGTGAATAATCTCTCCTATATCCTATGTCATGAAAGAGGTACATAACATTACCAGGCCTTGATAGCGGTGTCCTCATCACAGCTAATGAGATGTTTAAAGCATGCCTAAACTTACAAGGACTTTCAGATTTTATCTGATCCTCTTTTATGTTTCACTAGTTTTTAACCTATGTTGATCTCTGAGTAGAATATAGTTCTTTAGTTTTACGTTAGTTTGAGAAATTTTTGCTAATCTATGTATAAATATTTTCAAAAATAGTAGCTTTTTATTCACATTTCTATTCAGATAATTTCAACAAAGTCCAAAGCTTTCTGCAGCTCTCTGGGAATTAATGAGATTGTTTTCCTGCCCCATTGGTAGAATTTTACTTGGTTAAATGTATAGAAGTCTCTGACACTGATCTCAAAAATGCCTAATGGTCAAAAAATGTCATTGGCTTTTCATATTTTAAGAGTTTTATTCCATTTTCCTTTCTTTTGTTTAATTTGTGTATAATACACACCACGGATTACTTTACCTTATTCTTCTCATTAAGATTACATATTGAATTCTAAAACAGCAATAAAGCATGTTCAGTCATTTTCTTTTGAATCTTGAGAATGAGCTCTGACCAAATGGCAGCTAGCCCTAGCTTTTTCTTTAGCCAGAATTACATTCCCATTTTCCATTACCTCATTTATATCCCCTTTTACCCTCATTCTTTTTTATATATTTAAAATTCTTCTAACATTCTTTAATAGTATATTTTCTGAAGTTTACTTTAGACCACTCAAAGACTTGTGATATAAAAGGGCTGGGGGGGGGGGGGGGGCTCCCCGGGTGGCTCAGTTGTTGAGAGTCCGCCTGCCGATGCAGGGGACACGGGTTCGTGCCCCGGTCCGGGAAGATCCCACATGCCGCAGAGCGGCTGGGCCCGTGCGCCATGGCCGCTGAGCCTGCGCATCCGGAGCCTGTGCTCCGCAACGGGAGAGGCCACAACAGTGAGAGGCCCGCGTACAGCAAAAAAAAAAAAAAAAAAGGGCTGGGGATGGGGTTACATTGATTTCTTTCCCATTTTCATAGTTTTTCTCTTCGTGGCCTTATATCTTTAAAAAATATCATGTGTAGAAGCTATACAGATCTGCATTTTAATCATAAACAGAATCAGGTTCCCCCAGTTGCAGCAGCTTTGCCAGTAGTGTTTCCAACAGCTGATATTTCAGTAATGTATTTTGTAAATTTTTTAGCAAACCTTAACAGGAGACTAATAATAAAAATCTTAATAAGTAACATTTATTTGCAACTTAATCCTCTATGCCCAACACTGTATACTTTACATAAATTATCTAATTCTTAACAACAACGTATAAGATACGTGATATTATTCATATGTTATAAGTGAAGAAACTGGGACAAGGGGGGTTAAATTCACTTGCTATAAAGATATGCATTATAACCATTTCATTTATAGTTCAAAGAAAGCATTGTGGGATTATATTAATATTTTGGAAATCTGTCTTTAGTTTTAATTTTGAGTTCATTCTTCAGTCTTTCCTGTAATTATCTATAGAATTACGATGTAATAACTATTGACCCCACTGATAAAATTGAAAACTGAGCTTATTTTTAGATGGTTTTTTGAGGAGGGGTCATGGCATCATCATAAGTGGAATCATTCTTTTCTTATTTTCTCAGACACTAAGTAAAAGACTAAAAAATTGTTAGGATGTAATCATTTTTAACTTACCATTGATTAATTTAAATATATAAAAATCATATCACATTAGTAAAGGTTTACAAGTAATTTGAAACATTTTCATGATTGTGGAAGTTTTTACAGGCTTATTATATTATTACCAGTAGGAGTCCTAAGAAATATAATGCTAGAAGAATTAGCACTCCTGTATCATGACTCATAGAGTCAAGTGAATATTAGACTGAAAATTTGATCTTTATACTCAACCAGGCTTGGAGCCTGAGGATGAGCTTGTTAGTTCATATCTACTAAATTTCAGTATGGTTTCTAATATTGGCCTTATCCAATATCTCATGTTCTAAAAGTCTACTTCAGAGATGCCAAGTTTCCTTGACATTGATGGTATCCCACTGAGTGGAGAATAGAGTCTAAGTCATTTTTAGGATAAGCTTCATTTCATTTATTAAAAATAACTAAGCATAAATAATCCTTCTATAAACCAGCCGCAGGGTTATAGCTCAATCTTACTGAATGTCAGGCAACCACACCTTATTCCTTGGTAACCTGTAAAGTAGCTAGCTATCGGACCTTGCCTGCCATACATGTGACTTATCTAATCTCTTGACAAGATTCTCATTAGGCTGAAATCCCTTACTATAGCTATTCTTACCTTAATTTTTCTTACGGCCCATTCTCTTAACTACCTGCTGTAACAGCTGACATAGCTCTGTTAGGTTTGCAAATGAAGATCATGGATCGGTGTAATTTTGCACCTGAAAATTTGGATATATTGTTTCTTTTAGTACATTTATTACTCACTCTATGCAAGGCACCGTGATAGGTAATGCAGAAAGTACATAGATGAGCAGTAGTAATCTGGCACTTAAAGGCTACTGAGTACTTACTAGTGTCAGGCATTATTCTAAATGTTTTACCACATGTATTACCTCCTTTGATTTTCACAGTAACTACGTGAGCTAGGTACTGTTGTTATCTCCATTTTATAGATAACAAAACTAAGGCAGGAATACATAAATTGCCCCAGGGAACACAGGTACCTGGTAGATTTGGGCCACAAACCCAAGCAGTTCTGCTTTTAGGACCTATGCTTAGCTATGACATAATACCGCTTCTTTTTTTTTTTCCCTTTGCGGTATGCGGGCCTCTCACTGCTGTGGCCTCTTCCGTTGCGGAGCATAGGCTCCAGACATGCAGGCTCAGCGGCCATGGCTCACGGGCCCAGCCGCTCCGCGGCATGTGGGATCTTCCCGGACCGGGGCACGAACTCGTGTCCCCTGCATCGGCAGGCGGACTCTCGACCACTGCACCACCAGGGAAGCCCAATACTGCTGCTGCTTCTTTGATCTCAAGGAACTCACTTGCCTAAGTCATTCTTAAGCTTTCCAGGAACTTCAGAGCAGAGCTATATCACCTCTATAAAGGAGAGCACAATGCACCCTGTGGCCAAGGCAGTTAGCATTCAGCACAGTTTTCTAGTTTGTTGACTTTCACATGATTCTGGCTTTAATAATATTCCTCTTCTGTGAAAATTCTCTAAGACTTGTCTTTAATAGGGTTTTGGATGTTTAAGTGAAATGTTGTAGTTCTGCAAATAAATGGAATGCCCTAGTAAAATTTTATTCAGTTAAGATTTGATGAAACAATTAGATGCCTAATTTCTCCCAGAAATCTTACAGCAGATTTTTCTGGTTCTGGGGATGGTGGAGAGGGACTTTAAAGCCATCCCGAAAGGACCACAGGTAAAGCAAAGAATAACATCAGGGTTTCAGGGTTTGATGTTCTCTTACCTTCTTTCACCATAAGTTTTATTTTGAGATGTGGCAGAGCAAAAACATTGGTCGTGTTGATGGACTTGAGTTGTTCAGATAATTATCTTCAGTTTTGACTGGTTGAGCAAAAGTCTCAGGAGATTTCTCTAAAATTTTTAGTTCACAAATGAATTAAGGGAAGGTCACCTCTAAGCAGAACATAATTTCTAGAAGAAAATTGTTCTAGAAGATTGGTAATAAAGTTGTTAGTTGCAAAGATGAGTTAAAGATACACACACACACACACACACACACTGGAATTGGCAGTTTGGACTAGCCAAACCCCTGTGTATTCCATTCTGAAGCTGTTGAATCTCAGTATTGGAAAAATATCTAACAGTTTCTTGAAGTTGTTTTAGTCTCACCCGTAAGTATGCAGTCATGCTTGTAAAGCTGTCCAAGCTTTCTGACTTGACTAGCAGACAAGTTTTTTCTAAATAGTAAAGATCAGTAAATTAGGGATGGAAAAGCATTAATAAATAAACTTAGAGTTATAATTCAGTTCTTTAAACCATTGGCTCACTAAATATTCTGCACTTTTGTAATATCAACACTTTACTGATATAACAACATAAAATAGATTTCAGGAGATTTTGATGTTCAGCAAATCATATGAAGATAATATTGAAAAATTCATTTGTATATTTCTGTTTTTATAAATTGACCATTTAAATACGGCATACGTTATTTTTTTGTTTTTAAAGATATGTATTTTAATACTGTGGGTTTCGTAATTCTTTTGGGAAATTGACATAAAATATATTGTCAAGAATTCATATTTAATCATTTCATGTGAAAGGCACAAATTCACTTTGAAGTAACTTTTATTCAATGTAGAATGTTGGCAAAACTAGAGTTTTCTTCTAATTTCCTGTCTATATTTTTATAAATAAAATGTATTATTTTGCTGAAATCTTAAAATTATTTTTCCATTGGAAGTTACAGCATTTTCATAAAGTTTTTAAATAAATTGATAAGGATCTTGAACATGATTGAATTTTGATTTAAAATAAAGCTAAAATTTGTTTTACATTGTGGCAAATATTTACATTTTAGAGAACAAACTTTGCCTGTAATTAGTCAATAATATTTTTAAAATAACTTGGATTATAGATACAAATAATCTGCAGTATATTAAGGGAAGATGAGACTACATTCATAAATCTCCTTTTATAGTTGCAGTAAAATTCATTTAAAAAACTATATCTGTAGAAATGAATTGTGCAAAATAATATACATGTAACATTTACATTAATAGGAACTGAAAAATAGAGTTCTATGTCATTTAAATTGGAGACTGTCTCCCTTCATTCAGTCAATAGGCTTGATCATCATCTGAGCTGCTCTCAAGGAGTATGAGCCACCTCGGTATTCAGCCCAAAATATTCCGTCTTGGTACTTGCTTCTGTAATGGCCTCCTCTGTACCATACTCCATTTAGGTTAGAGTGTGCACAGGCATTGTACCACCATCCTCCTTTATGAAAGTGGGCGCAGTTTCCTTTGAGGAAAAAATATAGACATCAGAGTAAAAGTTTCTTCTAAGTGTGGTACTCTGTGAACCATCAAATACTTACTCTACTTTTAGAACAATGTGAGCTTTTCTTACTGATTTCAGTTACCTTTATCTTCATAGTGTTGTTTCTTCATTTATTCTGTTACTGTTGCTTAAGTATCACCCACTTGAAAGATCACTTGAATTGCCGTTTTTATTTTGCCCTTTGCTTAGTACCTGCTTTTTTGTTGTTGTTGTTAAGTGATTTAATTTTCTGGCTAGCAGGGTAAATAAAATGCAAGTCGTTTTTGTGTGCAAGAGAGAGAGATTGGAGAGATCGGGAGGGAAGGATATGGAGTTGCTAAACAGAGTAAAGTTTGGGGAAAATTGATTTTCAAAATAGCAAAATAACATGAAATAGTACTATTAGCAATCAAATGAATTTCTATAAATAAGGCATGTATTATGATCATATTTGTTTTCCTTTTTTCCTCTTTTGCTGGTGTGAAATAGAGACCTATGCGCTGCTTGCCAAGACACAGCTGAATGTAAAAATAAATCAACTTTCAGGGGTATGTCTTTATCAGAGCCAGAAACCTAGGTTAAAAAGGCAAAAGTATGTGAAAATTAAATTAAAAATTATGTGATGGCCTAAATGAGTCTTTCTAAAGAGACTATTTCCCCTCTGAATAAAGCTTTTTTGCTATTCCTGTACCACATGCTGCAGTCGTCTTGCTAGTCCCCTTTACCAAGAAGTGCCTTTACCCAATGTACCCAAATGGCTTGTTGCCTTCACTCCCTTCAGGTAACATCCAAATGTTACCTTTCTTGGCCAACCCACATAAAATGGCACCCACCCCCTGTTCCCTTATTCGGTTTTACTTTTCCTAAAGTACTTGTCACCACCTAACAAATCATCTTGTCTCCTTCTAGAAAGTAAGTTCCAAAAGGGCAGGAACTTTGTTCACTGCTGTATTCTTCAGCACCTACAACAGTGTCTGGCACATGGTAGGGGTCCAGTGGGATTTGTTAGCAATTTTAGGCAGTTGGAAGTTTTATTTCCAGATGAGTATGTTTTGTTTCACATCCCCACCCCATCAAGTTAGAACAACAGAACCTTGTTCACAGAGTTCACACTTTGGGATTGCCTTAGAGAAGAGCTCCTAAAAGCTGTTCCTTTCAGCAGGTTGTATTCTCTTTGAGTCCAAAACGACCTTTCTGAAAAGACTTTAGTGGCAATACTTTAATAACAGGGTTCTATTTAATGCGTAGAAAGTGGTGATTCTACAGAGAATACACATCAGTTTTTTCTTACTCACCTGCATACATATCTTTATCTCTGTCCAGTGTGGTGAACTGTTTACCATTATGCCACATCATAGAATCCCCAGCATTCCCCTGGTAAGTTCCCAGGCGCAGTCTATAGAATTCACTTTCAGGTTCCAGGCGAAAGCTGCTATATTCTGCATAGACTTTTTTATCACTCCAGTCTTCTAATTCAATCAACAACTTATAATTATCTTGATTGCTAAGCATATAGATATTTTGCAGTCCAAGCCAATATTCTCCATCTACGTTTCCAAATCCTTTCTGTTAATAAACAGAGAGCATGCTTACATGAATAAGTATAGAGATAGTAAACTTTCTATAGATAAGTTTTAAACATTTGATAGCATAAAAATATTGACAATTTAAGTGGTAATGTGACCTTCCACTTTTGTAGATCACCTGTTCTACTGAAGTCCCGTATAATCACTTTGTTTTGTTTTGCTTTCTCTTAATTTGTCAGCATTTATTTGCACAACTACCTCCAAACTTCACAAATAAGACAAAGGCAGAAGGGACTAAAATTATTCATAGCGACTAAAAACATTAACTAAGTAAACTACCCAGGCCCTTAAAAAGGGTTCCTGATTTCTCTCATACTCATAAAAAGAAACAATTTTTTGTAGATAGATATTGTCCCCACCATAGTCAAACAAATAGGACATCTAACATTTTTATGATATTCAATAAAAATGATAGTATCTGTTCTAGAACAAATTATCTTCTTTGACTCTATTAGAAATAAAATTAGTAAATGTAAGAAGATAAAACAGTAATCTTCAAAGCTCCTTCTTTGAAAGATTGTAGGTTAATATTTGAAAAACATAATAAATCAATTAACTATCCTATTTCAGTAAGCATTTGCCATTGCAGGCATGCAGCAGAATATAAGTTTGGTAAACCTGATCTTAACGTTAAATGTATTTTCAGGGGGGTTGTGTTGCAGGATTTTTTCCCCTTGTTAAAGTAGAGGACTTCCCTGGCGGTCCAGTGATTAAGATTTCCCCTTCCAATGCAGGGGGTGCGGGTTCAAATCCCTGGTGGGGTAGCTTAGATCCCACATGCCTTGCCGCCAAAAAACCAAAACATAAAACAGAAGCAATGTTGTAACAAATTCAATAAAGACTTTAAAAATGGTCCACATCAAAAAAATCTTTTAAATAGATAAGTAAGTAAATATAAAGCATAGGACCTCCAGCACGTGACGGTTTTTCTAGGACTGTTTTATCTCTGATTAAATATACTTGATAATGGGCACAAATGTGGTCATGATTAAACAAGCAGTTGTCTTCTTAGAAAATGAAATTAGGATCAGTCTTTGCAAAGAATTAAATACATATGTAAGTCATTCAGACTGAAAGGAAACATTTTAAAGTACATCTTCAGTTTCCTTTCTGCGTTTTAATTTTGACTTTAAAACCAGAGATGAGAATTGTCTTTCTGACAAATGCAGATAATGAAAAACAGATGGATAGTTTTTTTTTAACTGTGTATCTTATTTATTGCATATAATGACTATTATTGCAAGAGCTGCTTTGTTCCTACCTCTCCCCCACGTCTGAAACACTGATTTACCTTATAATTTTCCCAATTTCTGAAGAAGTTGACAGAGCCGTCTGTTCTTTTCTGAATAACAGTCCAACCCCCAGGATCCAGACTGTTCTCACACCATAACTGCATTGGTCCATTGCTGTTTTCAGGTTTGATCATATAAATCCCACTGACTGAATGTCCAGCTTCTTTTGCATGCTGACAGTCTTTGAATGGTCCTGTAATCAGAATATCTTTGATTGCCAGGAAACTTAATAGGAAAAGAGCCATATTAAAGTAGTTTTTAGTCAAGAGTCTTACTTACCTTTGTATCTTTCTTTACAGATACCACTTTTTATGTATTGTGTACACAATACAAGTTAAAGAAACTAAATTTATATTTTAAAAAAAGCTAAATAAAAGAATTACCCTAGTCCCACTATCTGGAACATTAACTTGTTTTATCTTCCACTGTTCTTGCAAGTCTTTGTCCAAATACATACATTTTTGTATTGTTATAATTCTAAAACACATAGAAAATTGGATTCTGTCTTTTTATTTTAACAAACGTTTCCATTGGACTACAGTCTCCATTCTATCACCTACGGTAGCTGTAATATGCAATCTTTGATGTTGATATATCATGTTTATTCCACTGCCATTGGACACTGAGGTTTTATCTGATTTTTGCTATTATAAATAACACTGTACAAAGTGTCTTCTTATTGGCTTCATTTTTTCATACTTATAAAAATGTTGCAGGATTGATCTACTGGATCAAAATGGTACAAACAGCTTTACAGTTCTTCATAGTGCCCAATTTTTAGTTTCCAAAATTTGATTTCAGTGGAACACACTAGTCCCTTGAGATGCTCAGTGAAAATGGCATACCACAGTCAAATAAGTTTTAGACTGCTAAATATTATGTTACCCTTTCGGAAACACAATATACATTCACATATTAAAGACTGAGAAGCCCTGAAGTAAACCAGTTTCCCAAACTTTTGGAATCTTTTAACGTTTTCCCTCATCCAACAGTTCATAAGAATACACTTCAGGAATGTTGGCAAAATGCCTTTCTAAAGTGTTGTATCAATTTATATGACTGATAGTAATTTTCTTATTTAATCTACACAATGACTTTCTGATAGTTTACAGATGTTCTATAGATGAAACAGTTAACTAACTAGTCTTTAAACCGTAGGCTTACACCCACTTTTTTCTAATCCCAGCATCTATGCTCTGAACTGCTGTGCTACAGTTGTCCCCATGTTATCTCACAGTTTTATGAATTCACTCCCTATTTTTTAATCCACTGATAAGTTTTTCATAAATTTAAAAATGACAAAACATTTTGTAAAATCATTTGTAGAGTGTCTTGACTCTTGAACTTGTGATTTCCATATTTTTGATCTAAAGAAAGATAGCTTCTAGTTTTACTGAACATTATTTAGTTTCACCCTTCTCCAGTGTTTTGATGCTTTGATTTTTTTTCGTAAGTATGTCAAGATATGAAGTGGTTCAGAAATAAGAATTACCCTAAAGATCTATTAGAACAACCAAAAAAGTATAGAAATTTCAGTTGTCAAATTTTATATTTTACTAAAAATTTTTAAATTCTGACATGTAGAATTTTTAGAAAATGTGTGAAAGTAAGAGAGTTTAGTCAAGTAAAATTCATCCAAGAAAGTCTGTACTGTAATGATGATAGGATTGTTGAAATTTTGAGGAATGTGTTATCTATACTGTGCCAAGTATATACAGGGTCCCTTATGGGGCCTTATTGGGATAGAAATAATCTCATTAAATAAACAGTTCCACAGTTACGTCATTAGAAGGGATTCTTAGAGACTATAAACTCTTCCCTCTAGATTACTCCTTGAAGATGGAGACTGTTTTTGTTTTTCTTCTGACTTCATGTCATCACTGTTTTAACTATTAAGTAGATGGTCAATACATTTTTGTTAAGCAAATGAATCAACTAAGTTGCCTTCACATTTTAAATAACAAGGAAATTGAAAACCACACACAAAAATCAGAGATGATCAATTCTCTAGTCCATGTTTTTATTGTTTCAGGTTTTTAAAAATTATAATACAGTGACTTGTAAGCACTACAGATTACTATTAAAAATTTGCGGAAACTGGAAATATGTAATGCTATCTTTCTTGGGTTATATTTATGTTAGGTATTAAATGTCTTAGTTATAGAGTTTCAATTTGATTATTTTTTTATTGTTTTTATTTCTCTTCTGAGATTCCAGTCTTGCATTTATTATGAACATAGTTTCCTTTAAGCCGTAATAACTACTTTAAAAATTCTTGTTCCTTCTATTTCCTAGTTTGTTGAGAGTTCTTACCATGAATGGATTTAGGATTTTGTCAAAGGCTTTTTATTTATCTACTGACATGATGATATGGTTTTTCTTTTGTTAATATGATAAATTCTGTGGATTGTATTTTTAATGTCAAACCAACCTTTTATTCCTGGGATAACCTCAACTTTGTCATGTTATCGTTTTTATGTATAAGATTGCTTTGATTTGCTAAAGTTTTGTTCAGAATTTATGCTTTTACAGTCATGAGGATATTTGTTAGTTTGTGAAAGCTCGTAAATAGTTTCTTAAGCTAGGGAGGACTATTCTAAAAATAATGTTTGCCCTTTTCAGACTGGCCATAAATTAGATCACATTCCATTTAAATTCAGTGTGAATTATTTTTATGCTATCTAGCTTCTCAGTTATTGAATCTAAATTACAGAGTATTCAGAGCCTTTAACACAATGCTTTACAAAGTAGTCGCCTTCAGTAATTTTGTTCCCTTTTCTTCTTCGTTGCTGACCTTGACACTTACTGCGTAATTTAAGGAGCTTGTGTAATAAATGTGTATTTAATTCATAAATTTAATGCGACTATTCAAAGATGAATATACAGTCATTTCTATTGCAGAAAAATAACGTATTCCTGAAATTCTCGTGTTCTGCAAAACTGTGCACTAAAAATAGCAGCTGATGTTAGCTGTTAGCATACTTTGTGTTCAGCTGCAGTTACTTGTGGCACAGAACATTAATATGCTTGGGGAAAATTCCATATGAATCAATATGACCACTTTGTTTTGCTGATATTATTCTCCTTTTTTATCAGTCACGTATGAGCTACTTCACGTTACAGAAACACGCATTGTAGTCAAGTCAGAGAAGGGTAGAGAAGTTTAAATGAAGTATGATTTCCAGGTCCAATCTTAAATTATTTTGTGTAATGCATGGTAACGTGTTTATTTGTTTACTCACGAGCAAGAACTGTAATTTTTGGTTGTGTATCCACAGGTTAACCCACTTAGGTGCTCAAATATTTGTTGAACTAAATGATTCCTGGCAGCCACAGTGGTTTCCTCAGCTCTGCATTATTTTTCCCAGAAATGTCTTTTCTGCATCTATGATAGCCTAGAAATCTTTAGGCTCCAGGGATAAGGAAACAACCATAGAGTCCAGTGGGAAGTGGGGGGAGCGAACTCCACTACAGCTTGCTGAGTACTCTGATTGAGTCAGCAGGGCACCCGGGAACACTGGCTAAGAATTAGCTAACCTAGATTTGTGGGGAAGAGCTGGAGTCGGCTCCATCTGAGCTGAGTTGTGAAGATTGAGTAGGAGTTTGGCCATTAGGGGTAGAGGGTCTGATCGAGGCCACACATGGGTGAAATGCGCTGAGGCGCGGAGACAGAAGAGAGCTTGATGTTCCAGCGGAGTTACAAATTTTGCATGTCTGAAATGTCAGTGGTTGGAGGGTGGTACTTAGCGCTCTTGAGGTTGGCTGTACGGTTGAAATTGATTTCTTCAGGCTAAGAATGCAGTCATCATAGTTGTTTACCACGTTAACCAGATTTTTTTTCTAAATTGTCACTTTCACAATAGTCAAGGATCTCTGAGGAGCATTGCTCTTATTTTAAAACCTATTAGTATTGTAGTTAAGGCACACATGAAGTGGTTTTGTTGCAATACATACAGATATCTCTCTTATTTCAGAAATTTGCTTATCCTATGAATGTCATCTTTGTAAATGTTTGCTCTGCACTCATTTGAGTATAGTTTTGACAGTTTACATTTTATGTTTAACTATATATTCACAAGTTGGACTTTCATTAGATTATTTGAATTGCTGTTAAAATATTTAGAAACATCAAGGTTTTGAATCTTGACAGAATATTTGTAAAATGCCATTTGTTCCTTTCCTGCTATTTAATAAGCCCTCGGATGTTTAAGCAAACTGGGGAGTTCTGGGTTTTCTAGATCCAGCTTTGATTTGATAAGACTTCCATTTATGCAAATTTAAAATTATCTTCAACTTTAACTTTCAACCCACTTTTTCGTAGCGGGCTTCATGTTTACAGTTTGGATGCCTGTTAGACTTGGTTGATATAAAGGCTTAGGAAAATGTGGTTGAAATTCTTTTCCAAGACATATGGATAAAATTAGCAGTGCTCATAGCTGTTTTTTTTCTCGTCAGTAAAGATAGTAAATATCAAAATTTAGTATTTGTTTATTTTTATAAGTAAACCATTAACCTGTCTCTTAGCCCAGTGTATACTGTTGGTCTTGGCATAAATATTTTCTCATTATTAACTTGCATATCTTATTCATTTTCTGCTGTAGAATTAGGTTATAGATCATTCTTACATTAAATATTTTACTGCTTTCTCTGTACCATACAAAATGCTTAACAGGAATTCTTAAAATGACTAGTAAAAAAGTAGCAGCTTTATTTTTGAGAAGCCAGTTTTAACTTGCTGGTTTATATTATCAGAAATAAATTAATTGATTGATTTATCTATGATATTTATATATGATTCAGGAATTTGTTATTAATGGTTCAAAGGGTATAGACTGGAAGTACCTTTCTTTCAAAATAGGAATTTTATTAACCTTTTGTTTGCATTGAGTAATTTTTTTTTTAAATTTTATTGGAGCATAGTTGATTTACAGTGTTGTGTCTGTTTCAGGTGTACAGCAAAGTGAATCAGTTATACATATATCCACTCTTTTTTAGATTCTTTTCCCATGTAGGTCATTACAGAGTACTGAGTAGAGTTCCCTGTGCCATACAGTAGGTTCTTACTAGTTATCTATAATATTTTATTTATAGTAGTGTGTATATGTCAGTCCCGATCTCCCAGTTTATCCCTACCCACCCCGCCTTTCCCCCTGGTACCCATAAGTTTGTTTTCTACATCTGTGACTTGCATTG